ACGTGGGGCGCTTCAGGATCCTGGGGGCCACGCTGCAGCAGATGCCGGGGTGGTGCAGCGACCTCAAATACGCCGGTGCGCACGCACACACGCAGCAGCTCGCGCGCGCAGCCCCGTCAGCCCTGCATGCAGGACATGCACGCACGTTGCTGCGCTGCAGGGCAGGACGGGAGGAGCAGGGTTTCGACCAGTGGGGTGCCGCAGCGAGAGGGGCGGGGCCGCCCCGCGGGATTCAGCGCGACGCCTGCAGTCATGCGCAGCGCATAGCTGGCCCAGCCCGTGCGTTGTCCTTGCATGCTTGATCAAACCCCTGACTCCTTGCCCCCGCACCCTGCACCGCTTGATGCGACGCCCGCGCAGCCGCACTGGGCACGAGCGTGTGGCACGTGTGGCGGCCGAGCGCGGCGCGCATCCTGGCGCTGCGCAAGGCGCTCGCGGGGCGGCCCGTGTGGGTCGCGGCCAGCACGCACCCAGGCGAGACGCGGGCGGCATGCGCGTGGGACTCTTTTGAGGGTGACTGCATTGGCGGCGCGTCGGGCGGCGTGGGCTGGACTCGCAAGCAGGACGACGGGCCGCTCGGCTCCTGCCCCCCGCTCTGCCGCTGAGGCGCTGAGCCGCGAATCAAACTTGGACTGCGAAACACCGCGCCCCCTGCTTCAACCGTCCCGCCCTCCCCTCCCGTCCCCCGAAAAACCACCGTCGCCCCGAAACCCCGCAGGCGAGGAGCTGCCCATTGGCGGCGTCCACGCGTCCCTTCGCAAGGAGTGGCCCCGCCTGCTCACGATCCTTGCGCCCCGCCAGCCGTGCCGCGGCCCCGAGGTCGCGGCGGCCCTGGCGGACCAACTGGGCCTCAGGGCTGTCCTGTGGAGCGGGGGCAGCGGCGGTGGCGGCGGCGGCGGGGGCGGCGAAGCGGACGGCGGCGGCGCGGCGGCTCAGGGGAAGCTGCACAAGGGGGCGGGGCAGGGGGGGCAGGAGCAGCAGCAGGAGGGGCGACAGCAGGGGCAGCAGCAGCAGGGTCTGCAGCAGCAGCAGCAGCAGCAGCAGCAGCAGCAGCAGCAGCAGCAGCAGCAGCAGCAGCAGCAGGGTCAGCGCGCCTTCCCCGATCTGGAGGGTGCTGACGTGTTGGTGCTGGACGTGGCGGCTGACCTGCCCCTCATGTACTGGTGGGGCCCGCACAGCCCTGAATCGCGCATGCAGTTGCATGCAATCGCACGCACGGTTCCACGTGCACATGATGGCGCGTGGATTATACGTGTATGTGGAGCGTGCTGAGACCCCCCCACACACACACACACACGCATGCACACACACACTGCCGCACGCACGTGATTGCACACACACACGCACATGCACGTGCGCCTTCGCGCGCGCGCACACACACACACACACACACACACACACACACACACACACACACACACACACGCATGCACGCACGCACGCACACGCGCACGCACGCACGCGCGCACGCACACAGCACACACACACACACAGCGGACGCACACACACACACCATGCCCTTCCCCCCCAGTGTCTCCGAAATCGCGTTTATCGGCAACTCCCTGCTGGAGGGCTGCGGCGGCCACAACCTGGCTGAGGCCGCGGTGGCGGGCTGCGCGGTGGTGGTGGGGGAGCACGCGGGGCACTTTGGCCAGATGGCGGAGGAGCTCAACCAGGTGGGGGGGGGGGGTGAAGGAGGGCGGGGTTAGGGAGGGTTTGGGGGGTGCCGGGGGTGGTGCAGGGGGGAGTGCGTTTTTCTGGTGAGAGGACGGGTCGGTGCGGGATACGGTGCATTTTTGTGGTGGGGGGGAGGGCTGGTGGGAGCTGGTGGGGCCTGTGGGTGGTTGGATCGCCGCCAGGACTGACCGCAGAAGGTTCTGCCAGGGCCGCCGCGGCGGTGCCGCCCGCAGCAGCAGAGACGCGCTGGGTGGCGGCGGCACTGCATGTTTGCGGCTGAGCGTCCGCCCGCGGTGCGGGGGCGCGTCTCCCCTTCCATCCCCCCATGCCAAGCGTACCTGAAGCCCCGCATTCTCGCACTCGCGCGCGCGCGCGCGCCGCGGCGCCCGCGAAACCGGCAGGCGGCGGTGATGGCGGCCGAGGAGGCGGCGGCAGCCGTGAACAGCAGCGGTGCGCTCTTCGACGACGCCTACCCCTTCGCCTCCCACGACCCCGCCGCCGGCGGCGGCTTTGGCGGCGACGACTCGGCCGCGGTCTCCGGCGGCGGCGCCGGCGGCGGCGGGGACGAGGGCGATGGGAGCCCGACAGGCGGGGGCGGGGGCCGCCCCTGGGGGCTGTCTGATGAGAGGGGGTCAAGCCGGTCAACGGGGCCGGAGCCGGGCCCCGGCTCGCGCCCCGCGACGGCGCCAGCGGCGGTCGCGTACGGCAACGAGCGCCGCGCGCCGTTCAGCGCCGCGGCGGCCGGCGGGGGCGTCCGGCGG